TGTACTCAAAGTTTCTCTTCTCAAAAAGCACAATCCTCATTCCATCCAAAATTCACAATACACCCTTCCCAACCGGTCTCATCCTATGCCCCGTATCATTGTCTTGTATACCCACTTTCGAAGGTAGCTCATCCAGAAAGTAGCCTCAAAATGCTATCTTTTAATTTGTGGTGACACAGTCTTAGCTAACCCTCTTATAACTTATCCTTAGCAAGCTTACTCATACTATACACATTTTTGTCGTTCCAATGTTTTGCAACTGAAAAGACAAGATTCATGTTCAACGCTTAATCACCATCTAATTCCTATTGATGTCTTGTGCCTCAACTTGCTCGGCTCCTTGTCCATCCTGTCTTTTTGCTGGCTCTCTAAACCCCAGGCCGGAGGCCATGATTTCTCTTCTCCTCCTTGCAATCTCTCACAACTCCATCTCGCTGTAGAAATCCAATGGTGTGGCCGCCACCCCTACCTTCGCGAGTTCCCAGGTCTTGACAATCCACTCATGTTTGATCACACCGAGCCATTGTTGAAACCAATGGCTGGGCATTGGCCCAAACTCATCCTCCCATCTGAAGGCTCCTTCGCGCGGCTGGTGTATCGGGGGCCGCCTCTCTTCTCTAGGCCTCGAGATTTCATCCTTCTCAACCCCACTGCTGATTACTATGACCTCCTGCACTTCCTCTTCCTCATCCTCCTCTTCTTCCATCTGTATGGGGCTATCCAGTGAGGTTCTTTGGATCGTAGGTATAGGGAATCTCTGTCCTCTCCCCATATCCTTCTCCAACGTCCGGATACCTCCCTTCACAACTGTCGTGGCCGCTTCGTCCTTCAAGCGGACTTTCCCTTCTTTCCTCCCCATCCTCACGCTCGTCGCGCATGTCCCATCTCCCCTCACCTTCCCTATGCCAAGACACACGTTGTTCGCACCTCTTGGCTCTTTCCTCGTCAGAGGCCTGAGCCTTGTCTCCCATATCCGCATTGCCCCCTTCTCCCACATTTGCCCTTTCCTCCTCGCTCTCACTCCCAGATGAGATATATATACCTTTTCCCTCCCGGAGGGGCGAGGGTCTTCTACATATGCACTTTCTTCTACCTTTGCCTACCACTGGCCCGGATATGAGCCCTATGTACAACTTTCTCTTTCCCGTCCTCCTCCCTCGACTCGGTCCCGCTTCTTCCCCTCTGGTAGGCCTATTGATCGCCCCGCTGTCGTTCTCGTTGTCGAATTTCATTTTTACCTTGTCTTTTTTTTCTTCTAGGTCCTATATAACAAAACAACACCCGCAAAACCCCTCATACACCCGTTTCCCCGTCCGGTAGGCAGCTCCCCTTCCCCAAAATGCTCCCAGTATCCTTCGCATCATGCCACCATTATACATTTCCCTCCTTATGCGAATGCCCCGCTTGTGATGATCCCATTATTTCCCCGTCAAAAACTATGATACAATGCTCCCGACAATCCGTCCCGTTGTCACACAAACCCGTTACCGCAAACTCCCAAGTCATCCTGCCTTTCAACCTCAGTCGGTCAAAACCATTGCCCCAACCCAAAAAGATGACAGTCCCAAGGACGCAGTCAGAGACAGAACCATAGTGTGGGCAAGGCCGTTGTCAGTCCTTAGCTTATAGCCCCTCAGTTTCCTTATCCTCGGCCTCCTGAAGCCATTGTTCCACGGGGTCCCGACTTAGAAACTTGACCAGTCGTTGCCCCGGGAAGGGTCCTTTCAATCGAGTTCCATCCAAATCTTCTAGTTCGAAGGTGTTCCATCCCACCCGCTTGGCGACCCGGTAGGGGCCTTTGAACCTCCTTCCCAGCTGTCCAGACCAAGTACTTTCTAGTGTTGAGTTCCTTAGCAATATTGTCTCTCCCACCTGAAGCGGCTCCTTTCTGACATTCTTAACTTGGTCCCACCTTGCTTTGTCCCTCATTCTGCTATCTAGTACCCGGTTGGCGATGTCTTCCATGACCTCTTCGTTCTTAAGGTTGTTGACGCCTTGCCTCAATTAACTCTTCTGTGGTCATTCGCGAATCATCATCTAACCTGTTCCAGGTAGGTATCAAGGCTTCGACGGGAAAGCCGATCTCTCTTCCATACCAAAGTTCTGCTGGGATACATCCCGTTGTCCTCTTAGGTGTCATATTCTCTGAGAAGACTGTCTGCTTGAGATACCTAGGCCAGCTTCCCAGATGGTCCGCTGCGAGCTTCGCAATCATGTTCTTTAAGGTTCGGTGCCCTCTTTCCACCGGCGCATTGGCCTCCGGGTGTTACGGCTCGATGAGTTTGATCGGTACGCAAAGTCTCTTAAGCATTCCCAATACTTCTTGGTTCACATATTATATCCCATTGTCCGCTATAAACCTCCTGACGAAAGGATGCCTCAAGTAGAAGTCTTTTATCCAGTCCGCTACACTTCTCCCTGTCTTTTTCTTGAGAGCGACTGCCTCCACGAACCCACTCAAGTTGTCTCGCACATCCAGGATAAACCTGTATCCATCTGTTGATACAGGCATGACCGCAAGGTCAAGGTGGACCAGATGTCTCGGCCCTAGCACCCGCGTTGGTCTAAGCGGCTCAAAGACTTGTGCCGAGCTTCGTTTCTGCAGATAAGGCAGGTCTGGCAATATGTGGCGACCATGCCTGCCATACCTGGCCAATAATAGAGTGGCGTTATCTTTGCAAGAGTTCGATGCCCCCCTGCTAACCCCTCGTGCATTGCCTGGATAACGTCTAACTGCCTAGATCTTCCGCACACAACTCTTCTAGGCATAGCACCTTCCTCTCTTCGGAACAGATGACCGCCCCTTAGGACGTACCTTTCGGCCTCCTCCCTTGCTTTAATGCTGACTTCCATGGGCTGTTTGTTTCCTACCAGCAACAACCCGATCTCCCGAAAGATCCCTTCGTATATCTGGGCATAGAAAAACTCCTTCCCTTGCTGGTCCTCATCCTTTCTCTCCTGCATCTGGTTTACCATCCATCGCAACTCTTTCCTTTCCCAAAATTCCATTAAGCTCATCACGGCTTCCCGACCTCCCTCAACCGCCATAGCTATTGGTTCCTCCTTCGGTCCTACTATCAACCCACAAATCTTTCTCCTCCTTGTGTCCTCGAGTGGTGACTGGTCCTTCTCTAAGTTCTGCTACTACGGCAGGTGCCCCCTTCTCAAAAATCCGGATCAATAGCTCTCCCGACGCGCATTCTTCGCCCATTATTTCGTTATCAACCGCAAGAGTTTCTCCTCCGTATTCGAGGAATGCGTCTATGGGCTMCGCATCCTCCACCCCTTCGGGAGTGATGCAGACCCGGCTCAGCCCATCGACTTTGTTTCTGATCCCCGCAATCCGTTCGATTTTATAATCGAACTGCTAGATAAATCCTACCCATCTTCCCACCGTCGGATCTATAGGCCTGTAATTCTTTAAGGCCCCTGCAACATTCGTCGGATCGATCCCAAGGATGAACCGCCTCCCAAATAGGTAGGCCTGGACGGTCTTGAGGCAATGCAAGATGGCTAGGACCTCCTTCTTGAACTGTGAGTACCGCCGTTCTGCGGAGTTCAGGGTTCTACTTTCGAACCTAATTGGCCTCTCTTTCCCTTCCTCATCCCTTTGAATCAGCACGCCTCCTACGGCCAAGGGTCCTCCATCTGTTTCTAGGACGAAGGGTCGTCCCACTTCGTCATTAAAACGGGGTGCGAACAAAGCGACTTGCTCAGACGTCAGTATGTCCTTGACTGTTTGGACGGCTCCCTCTCGCTCCTCTGTCCAGTCCATGGTCCCTTCTTCTCTAATCATGGCCCGGATAGGCTCAACAATTTTGGCAAAATTTTTAATGAAGATCCTCCAAAAGCCGACCACGCCTAGGAATGCTCTTACCTCCGTGGTCGTGCGCAGGGGTGTTGGCCAATGTGATATCTTATCGGTCTTCGCCGGATCCGGCTTCCTTTCGTAAGCACTACAGCAAAATCCTAGTATGGTTACTTCCGGTACTCCTAGAATACTCTTTGGTCCGCTAGCCGTGATGTTGTATACTAGGAACCGGCGGAGTAAGTCCTTGATGTCCTGTAGATAGTCCCATACAAATCTTCGGATTCCTGGCCGGACTTCCGTCTCGTCCTTCTCTTGCGCGCCTTTGATCGGGTTGTCATCGATGTAGGGCTCCCACTTCTTTGGGAACATGTCCCCGGCTACGACGAGCATTCTCCGTTGCGCTTCGGCTACCGCGTTTGTGAAGCCCATAGGGGTCACCTGCATCTACAACTGGCCTACGGGGGTGTGCATTGCGGTGTATGGTCTGTCCCGAATATCCAATGGAAGTTGGTCGTACCCTGAGTACAGATCGATCAGGGAGTAAATGCTCCGGCCGGCGTGCGACTCTGCTAATAAATCGGCCTGAGGCAGTGAGCCAGCATCCCGGATCGTTACCGCATTCAACTTCCGCAGATCCTGAATCCACCTCAGCGTCTTGTTGGGTTTCCGAAAGACGAACCATCGGTTTGCGTATGGTGATGCCGTAGGTTCTGCGACGAAGGAGTCCATCTTTGCTCGGAGAAGGTCTGTCACTTCCCCTGCTATCCCAAATTCATAGGCCGGACCCTTGTCATTCAAGCACGCATGCTCTACCGTGTGGATTCTGATCGGAGGAATTAGCTTCGCGTCCAACCGCCCCTTCTCGTGGACACTAAAGGCAAATGCCAGGTGAAACTCCTGGCAGGTCCTTTTGATCAGGAGGGTTTCTTCCTCCGTTAAGAATCCTTCTACCCCTATCTTCATTGTATCAGCTACCTCAGCTGGTATCCGATGCCCTTCTATTGCTCGCGTCTCTCGGATCACCCGGAGGACTTCCTCCTCCTTCTCCATAGCCTCTTCCTTTGACATCTCTAGCAGGATCGAGACCGGTTTTGCTTTCTTTCCTACCGGCTTGTATTTTCGAACACTTTCTTCCGCAATCTTTCTCCTTAAAAATGAACGGTCGGGATTACCCTCGCTACTTCTACGGTTCGTGGTTGAATACTGACTAATTTTCAATTCAGACAATATCCCTTTTGCACCTCTCCTTCAAATTTGGCCAAGGCCGCCGAGTCCATTCCTACCTTGTGGTATCTGAGGGCCTTGATGAGCTGTAACAAATCGGGAATCTTGAGTGCAACTTCGGACACGTCCATGCGCACTTCTTTCCGCTTGGGCAGGCTGACTCCGAGTTCGACTTCTGATTCCTTTTCTGCCACCATAACACCTAAGACTTCGTCCTCCTGCCTTCTCTTCTTCTGGGGCAGGCCCATCTTGATCCATTCCTTCGTATTGAATGCCTCCTCGATCATGATTTCTACCCTTTCTCTCATGCCCTCCATCCGCGCAAAAGCCCCCTTTCCTGCGCTATCCTCAAACGATGGCGACCACGTGGCTAACTTTCCCTTCGGAGAGTCTCCTCCTGTCCCTAGAATTCGAAGGAGCTCTCCCCGGCCGGTCACTGGGTCCTCTATGTCTACCATGTACGTGCCATCGTGCAAGTGCATGCCTATCATTTCCACGTTTGTGCACCACGGTCTCCCGAGGATTATATCGTGGCCCATTTCCTGCATTACTGTCTTCCGTTGGAACGACCAGATCGACTCCCTGACTCCTACCTTGACTGCGCATTCCGTGACATACCCAGCGAACGGGATTTCCCCACCGGCTCCTCGGATGCTTCCTGTTACTTCCTTATTTACCGTACAGCCCGTGATTGTTGCGAAATCTCTCCTTATGAGAGTGATTTCCGCTCCCCCGTCTACTAATGCGTTGGTATGACGAGTCCCGATCTGGATTTTTAACTTTCCTACGGGTAGCGCATGGAAGCTGAGCTTTGTTCCGGGAGGTGCCCTCATGACCTCGCCACCTTCTCGGTCTGGCAGGCTCAGGTGGATATCCCCAAAGGCTTTCTCAAGATCCTCTAAATCCCCGCGACTCCTCTGAAGGTTAGCGACCTCTTGCGGGGCTTCCTCCTCCCTTTCCTCTTCCGATGATTCGGGGTTTTCGTCTATCTCTACTCGCCGTCGAGTCAACAGTTGTCTAAGCCTTTTATGCAACCTAGGGCTGGCCCGCAGCATGGTCTGAAACGACACCGACACCATGGTTCCTAGTAGTTTGTCAAGGGTGTCATCGATCTCAGGCATGGTTAAGATCGAGATTTGGTACCTACTCTTCTTTTTAGCGGTGGTAACTTTGTCCGTAGGCTCCTCTTCCCTAGGTTTTCCATAGACTTTCTCTGGTTCCCCGGCCTCAGGCTCTGCCTGGGGTACGGAGCTTCTAGCAACCTCCTCCATCACGGTGTCACGGATAATCCTTCTCCCAGCCGTCCCTAGCCGAGTAGTCGCGTTCACCCTATCACGTCCGTTGTTTTCCAAAATGAAGTTGATCTGCGGCCCGCGGCCTCGAAGTTGATCCCAGATGATATCGACCACCGGCTCAGCTTCTACGACCGCTATCTCTAGCCCATTGAGCATGATAACGGCTCGCCGCATCCCCCCTGGCAAGTTCCAATTCACTCGTTCTCCCTGTAGTCCGAATATCTCTCCCTTTAATGACCTGGTACATCTCCTTTTTAATATATCATGGTTGAGTTTTGGACATGCGCGCACAAAATATCCCATTGCGGTGCAGTACTTGCATTGCTCGTTAGCAGGATCTCTCCGTCCGAATCATCGATTGGCTATACCTGGCGGAACTACGGCTTCCTGGGGAGGGAGAGCGGGTCGGGATACTTGCGCCTGCATAACTAGCAGCGCGTTCTCCACCCTTTCAATCTTGTTGTCGACTCCGTGCACCCGTTCATGTAGACTTTCAATCCCTTTCTTTACCTTGTCGCCTGTTCTACCTGTCAGATCTATGACCTCCCCTTCCTTGAGCAAGGCGAACGTCTCGGTCACTTCGGTCTTTTCGGCCAGATCCGTTACTGTGCTAAAATCAACATCCCTGGTGTTCACGAACTTGCTCGTCTGCTGGTAGGTCGACAAAATCTTGTCTTTGTCGAACTCGGAGAACTGCCGGAGGAAGTATGTGCTCATTATTCTGTCCGTTACCCCCGGGATCCTTAGTGCTACTAGAGTAAACTCCCGTAGGAAGTCGTTGTACATAGCGAAGTTCTTCGTCTGGAATGCCGGTAAATCGGCCTCCGTGGCCATTTTCTCCGCTGCCAGGTATTTTCTCATCATCACATCCCGGGTTTCCTTCCAGGATCGACTCGTGGCTACGATGGCCATTATGTCCCGCCCCAAGCTCAAAGACACATGCTGCCCCAGATTGTCCATTTTTTCTTCTTCGGTCCATTTCAACAACGTGGCCAGATTCTCGTAATCTATCAGGAATTCCGTGATGTTCGCCCCGTCAAATGTCAACTTTTTCTTAGCATCCGCTAGGTAGTCTTGGTTTTTGTCCAGCGCCCGCGCGAGGGACGATACTATCTTCCTAAGGCCGCCTTCGGAGCGACTGGCCTCGCCCGCCATAATGGTATCCTGCCCTTCCTTGCCGGCCTTCTGTCCCTCCCTAGTCTTTGCAGTTTCTTCTAGGTCGAACCATCCCAACAACCTTTCCCTAAGGCTCCAGAGTCCTGCACATCCTCGTGTTACCGCTGGCGTGGTCGGCAGACGGCTAGCCCTACTATCTATAGTTGGTGAGTTCGTGGCTTTTTGCGCCTCCATCCCCGGGGAGTTCTCTCTCTCCTTCCTCCTTTTGCTTGGTGTTCCCCCACGGTCACTACCCTTATCCCCTTGCCCAGTTCCGCCTCGGCCGGTTTTCCGTTCGTCCCGCGGTTCCTCCTGCAAAGGTCATTCTTCGTTCCCAGTCATCATTTCCTCAATCAATCTTGCCTTGTACTCTGCGGTCCTTTTTTCTATCTCTGCTAGTTTGCGCCTCGCATCCGTGACCCTCACTYTCTTAGACACAGCTCCCTTTGAATTCCGGGGACTTGTCCTATCCTTATTTCTGCCCTCCTTGGTTTCCTGAGTCCCTTGCCTGCTTCCCCCGGCTTTCCCCGAGCTTTCCCCTGAGGAGATTTCCTTCCGGTTCCCTTTGGTACCATCCGGATTCCTTCGCTCCTATGGTTATCCGTCTCATCCTCCGTTGCCATTTTGCCTAGTTCTGCATAAACCAAAGGATTCCCCAGGACACACAGCGCGAGGCATTTAGGTTCCCTAGGTTTCGGCTTCGTTGGCTTATCTTTATTCGGATAATAGCCCTCTCCCCATTTTCGTTTCCCGATTGCTTCCCCGAGAAGGAGCCGCGACTGGCCCTGCCGCCCTACTGAGCTGAGGGACATAACTTTGTTCCCTTTATCACAGGCTCGTTTAGAGTGCCCCTTTTCATCGGACGACACGTAGGAGTCCTGGTTAGGCATCCTGTTAGGGAAAGTGTCATGAGCAGCATTCCCCTTTTCGACCTCCAGGGTCATGGCAACCATTAGGAGTCTGCCCTCCCTCCCTTTATTCTCTAGCGGTTTTTTATCGTCCGGGTCTGAGGTCCTTCCTTATTTTTATCGGTGAGCCCCTGTACGTGGCGGATTATACTTGATTTGCCCTATTGGCCCGCCCCCGGGTGCTAGTCCCGTTCTCGCCCTCGCGACCCTTCCGGTTCGGTAGGCTCCTCGAATAGTTGAGCCACCCCCACTAGATAACTCTCACCTATCTCGATTTCCCTCTGGATTACGTGTTCGTATTCTACCGAGGCTAACTGTGGCAACCCAAATATCAGGATATGGATAACTTCCAGTAACTCATGGGCCCTGTTTCCCCAAAACGGTCCATGTTCCATGACAACGTCATAGAACATCTCGATGGTCTGAAAGGGGAAGTGTTCTACCCAGATTATTCCCGAGTCTGCCAGCTCCTGCGCCCTTGCGAGGCTCCCGAAGATGAGGTCTATCATAAATCGGGGGACCCGACACCTCAGCGGCGTGGTTGGTGCCTTGAATTCCCTCCAACCTCCCATTTCCACCCTGGTTAGTAAGTCCACGTTCTTCTACCCCTGACCGATTGTCCTATCCGCCTCAACACCCGGGCCGCCCTCTGAAAGACTGGAGCCGGTTGGTGGCCTTGCGCTATTCCTATCCCCAGCAAGTGCCAGCCAGTCTTGGGTAGGTACAGGACCCCGATTATCTCTAAATTGTAAAACACTTCATCCCAGGTCCCTGGTTAAGTCTCATTCCCATCCACCGACATTCCACCAACATGAAGGCGTTGTCTCTCCCTAGAGTCACGGCCTGCCATTCCACGTCGAATCTCCGAAAGTTGGAATTTGACAGGAGGGATGCTTCCCATCGCCCGCCGTTTTTCCAAGGCGGTCCGGGGTACCGGGGTTGACGTCCCATTCGCACACGTCTTGCTGCCATTGTTGTTTTGGCGATTCCCTGCATAGTCCGCATGGAAAGGATTACAACCGATCCTCAACAAACGCCCACCTACTGTCTCCTTACCCTTTATGTTCTCACTTTTCTTCTTTGGTCCCAACTATCCCTCCATATTCCCAGGAGCAGCAACCTCCGCTGGCTGCTCGTACAGCCGGTATAGGTCATCTATGTAGGTTGCGCCCCGACCTACTTCCCGCCTGATGACTCCCTATATGGCCTCATCACTTATTTGCGGAATTCCCGGCCGAGTATTTACTGCTGCCCGTAATATGCATAGCACCTCGTGCCCTTGTTCGTCTCCAAAAGGTCCCATCTCTAGGAAGGCCAGGTAGTATTCCCGATACATTAATGCTTCATCAAAATTTAGCCTAGTTATGGCAGCCACCACCTGCTCCACTCGCTCTTCGCCTCCCATTCGCCTTAGTGAAAAGAGTGGTAGACTCATCCGTATGACCTCATTCGACAACCTAAAGACCCCTACCGCGACGACTTTTACCTCAGCCGTCACGTCATCTCATTCTGGATCCGCGAACTCAAACCCCTCCGGCCAGGTTATTTGCCATGCTCCTTCGAACATTCGCACGTGGTCATCCCCGGAAGCCAAGGCAATCCCAAAGGTCCGCCATCCTTCTTCCGACAGGTGTAAGGATCCTGGCGCATGTACGCGCCCTTGGAGGTCCAAATTTATGCCCCCGAACTCCCCTCTCGCACGCCATTCCAGCTCTACTACTAGGTACACCGTGTCTTCCACCAACTCTACCCCCACCCAGTCCATTACCGGGTTACTTACCACATTTCTTGCTGGCAGGCTTATTTAGACCCTGCCCCCTGATGCTCTTGGTGGCCGGATCCCGCGAGGCCTATCCTCCCAGAATGTCATCCGTCGGGCCATCTTGCAGCGTCTCCTTTCCTGTTCCCTTAGTACGACCGCTGCATCCATCGAGATTTCGCGCCTTTCTAGTTTTAGTCTTTTCGCACTCCTTACCTATCGTACGCCGGTTCTTGCCGCTATCCCTGCCCCATAGACGTACGAATCTTTCCCCTTTTTTCGGTTGTTGATACCCCCCTTTGTTTCGACCAACTCGCACCCCCTGCTAAACTAATGTACACGCCCCTTTCTTATGTTACACCCTAATTCACATGCATCCTCTATACTCCGACCTCCCCGCGGCGTTCGATTTCTCGGTCCTTTTTTAATCGAACCACAGTACCTCAAACAGTTTAAAGACATCGTCCACGTAGGATGGGGCTGTCGCCGCCTCCCAGCTAACTATGGCGTCCCAAGTCCCTTTTTCTACCTCTAGGCGGTCGTACGTACCTATCCTCAGGACAGTGAGGACTTCACTGGCTTTATCTCCGTAGAAGGGCCCATATTTTAAGGAGATCCTATAGAATTCTTCAGTCAGCCAGACACATTCTATGTGTACTTCCTCCATGGAGTCAGCCACGTCTACGATGTGCTTGAAACCCCCAAACCAATCGGCCACGAACTCGGGCACCCACGTCGTTATTCGTAGGCTAGGAGGCTTGAGTTCCTTCCATTCTCCCATCACAACTCTGCTACCAACTTCGTCCCATCCCTCGTTGGCAAACCTCTTACCTTCCTTTTGGGTTCGCGCCTCTGCATCCCCTAGAAGCCACATTGGATCCTGTCCCATTGCTAACATAGTGCAAAATAGGCGTCACCCGTCTTCGAAAAGAACGACTGTCTCGACCGATTCCACTTTGCCTTCCACTATCTCATCCCAGCCTTCCTCTTCCCTTACCGGGTTCCAAATCCGCTCTATCCATACATATGATAACTCCCGAGCAACCTCAAACCCAACCCACTCGCACGTGGTCCCCCTCCACTCGTTTTCCGCCGGTATGGACATTTCTATTCCCCCTCTGAGCCGCCTTGGTTCCCATCCCTTGAAGGTGTATTCCATCATCATTTCCTCTCTAGTCATTTTTCCCCTTCCTGCACAATACCAGGCCACCCCTAGGTTAAGTCACCCTCCTTAGAAGTCTCAGTCCTCTATCTCATCACCTTCATCCTCATCACTGAAGTCGGCCTCTTCGTTGTAGAACAACTCCCTCACCCCTTCCAGAAATGTCTCCCCTATCGCCACGTTTCTATAGACTATTCCCCAATGCACGGAGCTAGGGACAAAGACATTGTCCACGCTAAGGCAGTTTAACATTTCAGCCAGCTCCTCCGCCCAATTTCCTTCAAACGGCCCCCTCTCTACTGACAACCGAAAGAAGTCTTGCCTAGCGCACCGGTATAGTCCGAGGTTCGTCATGGACTGACATATCCGTGCTAGCCTGCTTCGGGTTCCGAAGACCGCATCCACCAGAAAGGGAGGCAATACACATCGCATGGTTCTGACGGGTCGCCTCACGCTTCCCCTATCCCCAAGTTCCACCTGCACATCTACCCTCTCCATTTTCATTTCCCTCCGCTGACACGCAACCCACACAACCTCCGCTTTTGCCTTCCTAAACAGTTCGTCCAGCGTATTCCCAAGTGCCAAGTCTATGACCATAGCATTTTCCCTGTCTTGTGACAAGTAGACCCACCCCCGGGCTTCCACTGTCCCTCGGAACTCCAAATCCATTAAACTCGGCGACAACCTTTTCAAGCTCACATTAGCCCATACCGTCTCTATCCATAGGAAAGCGTCCTCCCCTTCCAGCATCACAGTTTGATATGCTGGCTCAAGATCTGCCCACGTTCCATCTTCTGGGAGGACGACCAATACCCCATCCCTTACATCTACCGACATTTTCGGACCGCTGGTATAGATCGGGGAAGACAACCACCGCGCCATCTTGTTTCCAACACCCGACCCCTGTTTTCATAAGAGAGTACCAAATGGTCCTTCTGGTCAGGTCAACCCTCGTCCTAGATGAGAATTATTTCAGACCCCTCATCAAGGTCTCCCTAATTTACCTCCCCA